TTTTTTTTTTTTAGTTTTAAAAGTTGATAGTACCATGTTTCCCCGAAAATAAGACAGGGTCTTATATTTATTTTTCCTCAAGAAGACACCCTAGGGCTTATTTTCAGGGGATGTGTTATTTTCCCCTCAAAGCCTCAGCTTGCAGCACGCACAGGGTGGCCAGGACCTGACAGGGGGAACCCACCTTGTTGGTGGGGCTGCTCACACCTTTGCACCTTTCCGATCACCTCTAGGATAGTACCGTGTTTCCCTGAAAATAAGACCTACCCATGGCAGAGCTCGGTGACTCACACCTGTAATCCTAGCACTCTGGGAGGTGGAGGTAGGCGGATCGTTTGAGCTCTGGAGTTCAAGACCAGCCTGAGCTAGAGCAAGACCCAGTCTCTACTAAAAATAGAAAGAAATTAATTGGCCAACTAAAAATAAATACAAAAAATTAGCTGGGCATGGTGGCACATGCCTGTAGTTCCAGCTACTCGGGAGGCTGAGGCAGGAGGATCACCTGAGCCCAGGAGTCTGAGGTTGCTATGAGCTAGGCTGATGCCACGGCATTCTAGCCCAGGCAACAGAGTGAGACTCTGATTAAAAAAAAAAAGACCTACCCATAAAATAAGCCCTTGCAGGATTTCTAAGCATTTGCGCAATATAAGCCCTACCCCGAAAATAGGACCTAGTGAAGGGCGAGGCTACGAAGCGTATCTGCACAACCCATGCATTTCATCACGGTGTGGTAAAGAAGACAAGCAGCCCTTCTCATGTGCCCTGTGAGAGCTCTATTGCTCGACATGAAAGATTGGGGCCAATGGTTCTAAAGGAAATAAGAGTCGCAAGAAATTCAGGATGGAATTCAAGGTTTGGAGAGTTATGATGATGTTCCAGAAGACGACTTAACTATATATTTGAATAAATGTAGATTCTTGTACCATACTTAAAAAAAATAACACATCCCCTGAAAATAAGCCCTAGGGTGTCTTCTTGAGGAAAAATAAATATAAGACCCTGTCTTATTTTCCGGGAAACACGGTAGCTGTCACGATGGGGCAGATGAGAAAGGCTGCTCATCTTCTTTACAGCTCCAAGACCGAAATGCATGGGTTGTGCAGATACCCTGCATAGCCATGCCCATCACTAGGCCTTATTTTCGGGGTAGGGCTTATATTGTACAAATGCTTAGAAATCCTGCTAGGGCTTATTTTATGGGTAGATCTTATTTTTGGAGAAACACAATACATTCATGTGTTCAAATATCAAAAAGATGTGTCTTGGCCAGATGTAGTAGTTCATGCCTGTAGTCCTAGCTTGAGGCCTGGAGCTTGAGAACAGCCTGAGCAACAGTGAGCCAGACCCTATCTCTATAAAAAAAATTTAAAAATTAGCCAGGTGTAGTGGCATGCACCTGTAGTCCCAGCTACTCAGGAGGCTAAGGCAGAAGGATTGCTTGAGCCTAGGAGTTTGAGGTTGCAGTGAACTATCATGATGCCACTGCACTCTAGCCCAGGTAACAGAGACCTTGTCTCAAAAAAAAAAAAAAAATTAAAAAGTGCCCATTTGCATCCTGTATTTTTTCATCCTGTTCTTTTTCTCCCTATAAACTCCTATATTAGTTTCTTAAATATCCCAGCATTTTAAGTGCAAGCAATTATGAATATACATTCTTATCCTTTCACTTATCTTTATTTTCTCTGAGAGTTTCACTTTGTCACCCAGGCTGGAGTGCAGTAGCACGATCATAGCTCACTGCAATCACCAACTCCCTGGCTGAAGTGATCCTCTCACCTCAGCCTCCCTAGTAGCTGGGACTACAGACATGCACCACCGCATCTGGATAAAAGAAGAAAATTTCTTCAGAGACAGGGTCTATGTTGCCCGGGATGGTCTTGAACTCTTGGCCTCAAGTGAGGCTCCTGCCTTGTCCTCTCAGAGTGCTAGGATTATAGGCACAAGTTACTACACCTGGCAATAAGTGTATGTGTGTGTGTGTATATATATATTTTTTCCTCTATCAAGATAACTCATTTTCCCACATCAAAGTTTCTAAAAATAAACAGGTTCAGTAGTAAGAATGGCATTGCTTAAAAATTGAATGGTATTGGCTGGGCACAGTGGTTCATGCCTATAATCCTAGTACTCTGCGAGGCCGAGTCAGGAGGATTGCTTGAGCTCAGGAGTTTGAGGTTACAGTGAGCCATGATGATGCCACTGTACTCTACCCAGGGTGACAGAGGGAGACTGTCTCCAAAAAAAAAAAAAAAAAAGAAGTTGAATGGCATTGATGGCAAGCTAAGCATTCAGGGTAGTGTTTTAACATATTTGTAAAGTACTTGTTCATTGTGGAAATGTGTACTTGATGAAAACCATATGTATCTATGGAAACTACTTTTGTAGTTTAGGATATATAGGTTTTGCGTTTATGTGGCTTATTGTGTTAAATTATTATTGCACTTAGCTTAAAATAAAGATTAAAACTGCATTTAAATACATCACTGTATATAACTTTGTGAAACTGAACTTTGTGTGTGCCACTTATATTACCTATAAATCAGAAAACCCTCTTGAACACAATTTGATGAGCTTCTGGGTTGCTGAACATAGAGGGCATGGAAGCTCTATGCTGCTTTCCCCATGCCTTGCCTTACACATCTCTTCCATCTGGTTGTTCACGTGTACTTTGTAATATCCTTTATAATAACTGGTAAACATAAGCGTTTCCTTGAGTTCTGTGACCCAAGTTGGGGATAGTGGGAACCTTAAGTTTTCATTTTTTAAATTTTTTGAGACATGCTCGGACTAGAGTGTCGTGGCGTTAGCTTAGCTCACAGCAACCTCACTGCTAAGAGTAGGGACAGTAATTTATCAACCTGTACACTTAAGGTTAGTGCACTTTGTTAAGCCTCAATACTTTTTTAACTGTGGTAAAATATACATAATGTGAAATTTGTCATTTTAACCATTTTTAAGTGTACAATTCAGTGGCATTAAGTACATTCACAATGTTGTGCAAACATCACCATTATCCATTTCCAGAACTTTTTTAAGATCCTCAATAGAAACTCTCTTCTCCTACTCTCTGCCCCTGGTAATCTCTATTCTACTTTCTGTATGAATTTGCCCACTCTAGCTACTTCATATTAATGTCTTTGTGTATTTTTAAGCCAGATTGGAAGAGGAAAATGGTGAGTAACCACACTTCTTGAGAAATTTGGCTGTGAATACAGGATAGGTGGTAGCTGGAGGGGATAAGGGTGGGGTTTTTTTGGCTTTGTGTTTTTTTTTTTTTTTTGAGACAGAGTCTCGCTTTGTTGTCCAGGCTAGAGTGAGTGCCGTGGCGTCAGCCTAGCTCACAGCAACCTCAGACTCCTGGGCTTGAGTGATCCTTCTGCCTCAGCCTCCCGAGTAGCTGGGACTACAGGCATGCGCCACCATGCCCGGCTAATTTTTTATATATATATATCAGTTGGCCAATTAATTTCTTTCTATTTATAGTAGAGACGGGGTCTCGCTCTTGCTCAGGCTGGTTTTGAACTCCTGACCTTGAGCAATCCGCCCGCCTCGGCCTCCCAAGAGCTAGGATTACAGGCGTGAGCCACAGCGCCCGGCCTGGCTTTGTGTTTTAATTTTGGTTGTAATTTTGCCTTAAGAGTCTAAGTTCAGAGGTGAGGGTGTGCGGCAAAAAAAAAAAAAAAAGAGTCTAAGTTGAAAGTTCCCAGCTCTAAGGGAAGTTGCTTATCTAAGGCCTGCAAAAGCATGGTAAGATGAAGGCACTATGTTCTGGGGTAGGGGAAGTGAGAGGGGACGCTGGAGAAATTGGGGGCAAAATTATGACGAGAATATTCTGCCAAGATAAGTTTTGAACTTTAATATCACCACCAGGATCTGAGTACTTTTACCAGGCACTGGATTAGGTGCTAGACATAATTCTTTTATATCAGTCTAGCAAAACAGTTATTATCTCTATTTTATTGCTAACAACTTAGGTTGAGAGAAATCATTTGCCATAAGCCAGTTTTTAGTGAGTAGGCTCAAAATATTTGAGATATGATCAACTTTGTGAAAGTGTGTGTGAAGGCAATTTTGGCCAAGCTAGGGTAGAAGTGTTACTTGGCTTCACTTGGTGGTTCTGGGCAGCCTTAAAGATACTCAGGGGTGGAGTGTAGGAGTGTTTGGTGAAGAAATTAGGAAGTGCAGAAAAGAATGGAAGATTCACTGGAATAACACTCTTTTTTTTTTTTTTTGAAGGGAGAGAGAGTTTATGGAATAACACTCTTAAAAAAAAAAAAAAGAATGGAAGATGGCCAAAGCCAAAGGCAGCCTGGTTTGACTAAGAAATAAAATTTGGCCATGCCTTTGGTAAAGTAGGGGGAGGCTTGCTATGGACTAAAGCAGGGGTCCTCAAACTTTTTAAACAGGGGGCCAGTTCACTGTCCCTCAGACTGTTGGAGGGCCATTGGAGAGTGCGGCACACCTTCTACACATGTGCACTGTGAGCCCGGGACAAGTCAGCTGCTAAGCAGGACAGGCAGCTGCGGCAAAAACACCCAGTGGGCCAGATAAATGTCCTCGGTGGGCTGCATGTGGCCCACAGGCTGTAGTTTGAGGACCCCTGCACTAACGAATATATGGGCCCAGGCTGAGGACTGGCTGTACAAAGCATAGAGCAGACACAACATCATGCCTAGGAGTACAGGGAGAACATACGCAGCGTGTGACCACACACCTGGGGAGTAGAGTCTGGTACCTACTGCTACAAATGGGGATCACCCTCAGGAGACTAGCCAACGCTCCTGGAAGACAGTGGGGCTAGTCTCAGGGATTTAATGAATAGAAGAAAAATATTTTGGGTTGTTAGAATATCTTGAACTTGTTAACTAGATTAGTTCAATAATAATTAATCAGTTGACGTATTTAGGTTAAAAGGCTATTTTTGTTCTTCAATGTTATAGTCAGAATATTTATAGAAATATTTATTTTGAAAGTAGCACTTTAAAAAAAAAAGAAGTGACTTACATTAAAAAGCTCTAAGGTGTATTATTTCAAGTACATGTTATTACTATCTATACCTCTACCCCATTTATTAAGCCAAAAACATTTCAAGCAACTTTAAGTCCATAAATTAATGAGGTACAGAAGCACAACCAGAATGGGACAGAAAGTGCTCCAAGTTAAAAGTGGACAACATAGCTCCTTAATGATGTCTCCCATAAAGCACTTGTAATTAAGATTTCTTCCCTAAAATTGCAATGTGACATTTTAGATGCTCTGGCTGTGACTGGTTTAGCCCCCCATTTCTAATGGTGTGCTAGCATCAAGTGGTTGCCCAGGAGGTCAATCCAAGATTCCAGGTGGCACTCTTGTAGGCCCCAATTATCAACATGTGGCTCAGGAGGGCTGATAAACCTGAAGGTTGGGAAAACCTGCTTAAAGGAAGAACTGCCATTCCAGCATAAACTGTCCTTAATCCTACTGCAGAAATTGTTTTCATTCTGGAGGTGGTAAGTCCCAGAAGATCCTGGCCAAGAAGAAGTCCTAAGTGGCTTCCTCTGAGAGTTTATCCCCAAGAGGGAGCCATCTGGCCACTTGCTTTTTATTACATTTCCAATAGCTGCTCCATTTCCTCAATGACTGTTGTAAAATCATTTACTTGACTGTTACATAAGGTTTGCTGTTCTAGGAATTGGAGCCTTTCTTCTTCTTTCATCTTCAACTTTACCTTTAAGGCCTGTATTGAAAGACATTTTGAAAGAAAAAAAGAAACACAAAAAAACTCTTGACTCATAGGAAAGACAATACATACACCAGAATACTGTTTCTATTCTACTGAGGAATAGCAATAGACATTCTATTTTTTCTTTCTTTCTTTTTTTTTTTGAGACAGGGTCTCACTCTGTCACCCTGGGTAGAGTGGCAGTGGAATGATAATTGCTCACTGCAGCCTTGAACTCCTGGGCTCAAGTGATCCTCCTGCCTCAGCCTCTCCAGTAGCTGGGACTACAGGCATGAGCCATGATGCCCGGCTAATTTTTCTATTTTTAGTTGAAATGGAGTCTCACTCTTGCTCAGGCTGGTCTCGAACTCCTGAGCTTAAGCAATCCTCCCACCTCGGCCTCCCAGAGTGCTATGATTACAAGCACAAGCCATCTCGCCTGGCCAGAATCTGCATTTCTTTTTTTTGAGACAGAATCTCGCTTTGTTGCCCAGGCTAGAGTGAGTGCCATGGCGCCAGCCTAGCTCACAGCAACCTCACACTCCTGAGCTCAAGCAATCCTCCTGCCTCAGCCTCCCGAGTAGCTGGGACTACAGGCATGCCCAGCCCATTTGGCCGGTAATTTTTTTTCTATATAGTATAATTGCCAAATTATTTTTCTTTTATTTATAGACGGTTCTCGTTCTTGCTTCAGCTGTTTCAAAACTTACCTGGAACCCTCGAGAGAATCCGCCCGCCTCGGGCTGTCCAGAGTGCTGGGTTACAGCGTGAGCGCGCTTGGCGGCCGGGCCAGAAATCTTGATTTCCTTACCTTACAGGCTGCCTTTGTTCTTGGAGTAGCAATTTCCATAGGCATGATTTCGCAATATGAGTTTTCACAACTCTTCAATTTAAGCGATTCTGTACGTGTGTTTTGCAAAGTGCCCCAGTGCCTGGAAATTTCCTCAGAAGAGTCCTCAGGAATAGAAAATTAGTGGGAAAATCTGGCAAAATACAAATTAAGTCTTGGAATTTAAGCTTAGATAGGCAATTGCAATCAATGTTGCTTTTTAAGTTTTGACAAATGTAACCCAGGATGTTATACAGGGAAAAATAATTTTTCTTGTGTTATTTTGCAACTTTTCTGTAAACCTTAAAATTTTCAAAATACTTGATTATTTGTTTAATTTCATTTTGAAGACAGGATTCTGTTCCAACTTGTGCTTCAGGCTAGAGTAGTTTTTGGCCCATGGCATCAGCCTGAGCTGCCATAAGCAACCCAGAAAAAACTCCTGGCTCACAATCGTGATCTAGGTGCTTAGCTTCCCGAGTAAAGAGCTGGGGGAACGTCAACAGGCATGAACCACGATGCTGGTAATTGTTGTAGTATTATTTTTATTGGTCAATTTATTTCTTTTTCCTATTTTAGTATAGACGGGTCGTCGCTTGCAGGTGGTTTCAAAAAACTCTGGTACGCGTTGAGCGATTGCCTCCCGCTCGGAACCCAAGAGGCTAGATACAGGCGTGACCACGAGCCGGCCCTCAAAATATTATTAAAAATTAAAACAAGAAAAGGCCGGGGCGCGGTGGCTCACGCCTGTAAATCCTAAGCTCTCTGAGCCGAGGTGGGCGGATTCATCGAGGTTCGGAGTTCGAAACAGCGCTGAGCGAAGAGCAGAGGAAACCCGTCGTTTATATAATAGAAAGAAAGTAAATGGCAAGAATATATATAAGAAAAAAAAATTGCGGATGGTGGCGCATTGGCTGTAGTCCCCAGCCACTTGGGAGGCTGAGGCAGAAGGATTGCTTGAGCCCAGGAGTTTGAGGTTGCTGTGAGCTAGGCTGACGCCACGGCACTCACTCTAGCCTAGGCAACAAAGTGAGACTCTGTCTCAAAAAAAAAATAAAAAATAAAAAATAAACAGAAAAGTAGGAAATAAAGACTCTTCCATAATCTACCTATTGTGGTAGGAAATGGTAATCTTGCCTCAGGGTGATGTCTGACTTACCTGTAACTCCTCCATCTGCTTTTTGGCTGTTTCATTAAAAAGCTTCAGCTCATCTTGCAAAGTTTCTAAAAGCAACTAAGAAAGTACAATGAAGTAAACAAATCTTCACATGAGAGTTGAATTAGATGATGGATAATGACCCCTCCATTCACTCAGTCACTTACTGAGCATCTGCTGCACATACTGGGCTTAGACTTCCTTGAGGAACTCAGTCCCCAGAATAGCCAGATTATTTCACTACTATGGGCTCTGTCCTACTGCTCAGACCTTATGAGCAAAATGTAGTAGCCACAGAAGGGGAGACTAATGGACTGTGGGGACTGATTAAAGCTTCCACATCCAGTGCTCTATGATTCTAAGATGACAATTGATCTTCCTGAAGAAGACATCACAGAAGTTCTAGAGACGTTAAGCCCAAACAATTACCTTCCTACTGTAGGGAAGACACCAAAACAACAGCTGAGAATTCAAATGTAATAGACTTGACCTTTGCATTATATAGCTCTCAGCAAAAGAGTAAGAGGAGAAATTTGGTAAAGTTTAGAATGGAGGAACCAGAAAGCTTTCTATAGAGGTTCACATTATTACATGGTTTTTGTTTTTTGAGACAGAGTCTTACTCTGTTGCCCAGGCTACAGTGCCATGGTGTCGGCCTAGCTCACAGCAACCTCAGACTCCTGGGCTCAAGCAATCCTTCTGCCTCAGCCTCCAGAGTAGCTGGGACTATAGGCATGTGCCACCATGCCCGGCTAATTTTTTCTATATATTTTTAGTTGTCCAGCTAATTTCTTTCTATTTTTAGTAGAGATAGGGTCTCACTCTTGCTCAGGCTGGTCTGGAACTCTTGAGCTCAAACAATCCACCTGCCTCGGCCTCCCAGAGCACTAGGATTACAGGCGTGAGCCACCGCGCCTGGCCTTATTATGTGTTTTAAAGTACATTTTCAATTCAGATCACTTACATTTGTAAGCACAAAGCTACCTTCCAAGTCAAATATGCTATTTTGAGCATGCATCCCATTGCTCTCTTCTACCACCCTGGTAGACCAAAGGCTGGGTCTCGGGACTTGCTGAACGCACAGCAGAGACCTCAGATTTACAGAGCACCAAGGTCACTGGGCCCTCACCCATGCACATCCATGCTCTCACCATAGAGTCCGTGTGATCTGTCGTGGATTCTTGCCGTGAAGTCAAGGTCTCACTGCCTAAAGTTGATGTATACAACAAAGTCAGCCTCACTCAGGGAACTATACCTTAAACAAAAGGAAACAACCCCTCCTTGGACAAGTCCAGGAATATTCATGAGGGAAACTTCTGTGTCTGGTCCTAGACTTTCTCCCCTGAGTTCTCACCTTGGCAAGGACACCCACGCCAGCCTTCTAGAGTTGTATTTTATCTATGTTTGTTTTTTCCTTTTTTTTTTGAGACAGAGTCTCACTCTGTTGCCTGGGCTAGAGTGCTGTAGCATCAGCCTGGCTCACAGCAACCTCAAACTCCTGGGCTCAAGCCATCCTTCTGCCTCAGCCTCCCAAGTAGCTGGGACTATACACGCATGTACCACCATGCCTAGCTAATTTTTTCTATATATTTTTAGTTGTCCAGCTAATTTCTTTCTATTTTTATAGTAGAGATCTATGTTTGGATATGGACAAAAATTCACTCTATTTTCTCCTTAGCTCAGGGGCAAATTTGTCCAAAGGAAATAAGATGTCAGGATTGATTATTTTATTTATAATACCACAAACTATTTTTTGTGTGATAGGGTGTCATTGACACCCTGGCTAGAATGCAGTAGAGCGATCATAGCTCACTATAGCCTTGAACTCCTAAGCCGGAATTATCCTCCTGCCTCTGCCTCCTAAATAGCTAGGACTATGGGCACATGCCACTACACCCAGCTAATTTTTAAATTTTTTTTTTTTTTAGAGATGGGGTCACATTGTGTTGCCCAGGCTGGTCTTGACTCCTGGTCACAAGCAATCCTCTTGCCTCAGCCTCTTGAGTTACTACCACTACTGTATGAGCCTCCATGCCTGACTCCACAAAATTTTTTTTTTGATACAGGGTCTCACTTTGTGGCCCTGGCTAAATTGTAGTGGCGTTAGTCTAGCTCACAGCAACCTCAAACTCCTGGGCTCAGGCAAACTCCTGTTTCATCCTCCTAAACTGCTAGGATAATAGGCATGAGCCACTGTGTCTGGCCCTCAAAACTATTTTTTTTTTGAGACAGAGTCTCACTTTGTTGCCCAGGCTAGAGTGGAGTGAGTGCTGTGGCATCAGCCTAGCTCACAGCAACCTCAAATCCTGGTCAAGCAATCCTTCTGCCTCAGCCTCCTGAGTGGCTGGGACTATAGGCATGCACCACCATGCCTGGCTAATTTTTTCTATATATATTAGTTGGCCAATTAATTTCTTTCTATTTATAATAGATACGGGGTCTCGCTCTTGCTCAGTCTGGTTTTGAACTCCTGACCTCAGGCAATCCGCCTGCCTCGGCCTCCTGGAGTGCTAGGATTACAGGCGTGAGCCACCAATCCCGGACTCAAAACTATTTTTAAAACCTTTTAAGGCCTTAAAAAATTATTTTTGGTAATAGTGCATGCACATTATAAATTAAAATCATGCAAAATATTTATGGTGACTATATTTAATTATTTTATTTGGGTTTTTTTTGGAGATGGGAGTTTCGCTATGTTGCCCAGGCTGGTCTCAAACTACTGAGCTTAAGTGATCCTCCTGCCTCAGCCTCCTGAGTAGCTGGGACTACAGGCCCGTGCCACCATACCTAGCTGTGGTGAATGTAAAGAATATCCTAAACTGTACCCATAGGTTAATCAGAACCATTTAAAGTACAAATTCCTTAATTTAAAAAGGCCTAGGCCCCTTTCCTGGGCATTCTCTGGCTCTGCAACTCAGTCTGAGGGCCTCTTACAGTCTTTGGGCAATTCCTTTTTTTTTTTTTTTTTGAGACAGAGTCTCACTCTGTTGCCAGGGCTAGAGTGCCATGGTGTCAGCCTAGTTCACAGCAACCTCAAACTCCTGGGCTCAAGCAATCCTACTGCCTCAGCCTCCCGAGTAGTTGGGACTACAGACATGTGCCACCATGCCTGGCTAATTTTTTCCATATACATTTTTAGTTGTCCGGATAATTTCTTTCAATTTTTAGTAGAGACAGGGTCTCACTCCTGCTCAGGCTAGTCTCAAACTCCTGACCTTGAGCAATCAGCCTGCCTCAGCCTCTCAGAGTGCTAGGATTACAGGCGTGAGCCACCACTCCTGGCCTCTGGGCAATTCCTTCTTTGGCTCTCTTGGTTGCTGTAGACTCTGCTCTCCAGGAATAGAGTCAGAACAGGAGTCATATCTTAACCACTGTGATTCTGCTGTTAGGAATGCTTGAAACAGTATTTTCTCTCTCTTGCCTCACATGGGAAAGTTTCCAGTATGCTTTCCCTCTCTCTCTCTTTTTTTTTTTTTTGAGACAGAGTCTTACTTGTGAGTGCCGTGGCATCAGCCTAGCTCACAGCAACCTCAGACTCCTGGGCTCAAGCGATCCTACTGCCTCAGCCTCCCGAGCTAGCTCGCGGAGTACAGGCATGCGCCACCATGCCCGGCTAATTTTTTCTATATGTGTTAGTTGGCCAGTTAATTTCTTTCTATTTATAGTAGAGACGGGGTCTCGCTCTTGCTCAGGCTGGTTTTGAACTCCTGACCTCGAGCAATCCACCTGCTACGGCCTCCCAGAGAGCTAGGATTACAGGCGTGAGCCACCGCACCTAGCCTCTTTTTTTTTTTTTTAAACTTTAAATATTTTGTTTTAAGCCAGGCGTGGTGGCTCATGCCTACAATCCCAGCACTCTGGCAGGCCCAGGCGATAGGATCACTTGAAGTCAGGAGTTTGAGGTTGCAGTGAACTATAATGATGCCACTGTACTCTAGCCCGGGCAATAGAGCAAGACTCTGCCTAAAAAAAATAAAACAAAACAAAACTTAAGTTGCTCTATCTCTCTTGAGAAAAACAAAAGGTTTCTGGTCTATTTGCAAGGTCATACCTTTTGGTACCAAATGAATGACAAAGTGTTCAGGTAAGAAAGAGATAAGCCTCTCTATAATCATCTGAAATTCCTTTAGGCAAAAATCAATATTGCATGCAAACAGAGAGGCTCCCAAAAATCTTTAGGGCTTTGCTAAGTGACCCCTGCACTGACTGGGCCACTGATGCCATGCTGCCAAGGTCAACGCAGGAAGAAGTGCATGCGCTGATTCCATCACAGCAGCTGTGTGCTCTCACCTGGGTTCAGGCCTTTGCTCTCCAGAATTGCCAAACAGTTGTCCTGAAACTTTTCCAGCAGCTCCACCTTCTGGGTCAGGTCCTTCAGCTCTCCCTGTTGAAGTGACACACAGATAGATCAGACACTGTCCCACTCCCCAGGAGTAGCTGCCCTTTCTTGCCTTTGCTCTTGGATAGCGACAGCATAAGCCTGGCTTTTTCTCTTTCTGATCTTGGGCGTTACAGGCTTGCTCACCACCCAAGGGCCATCCATCAGGATTCTACACGGATCACCCAGTGGCAGCTGATGACAGAGGTCTGGTGGCTCTCCTACCTGAGTTTCAGTCAACTTCTGGTGCAACTGCTTGTTGACAGCCTCTAAGAGCTGGTTCTTATCCTTGAGCTCTTCCTCTGATTTTTGCTTAGTTGGTGGTTTATAGCTGTAATGATAGTTGTACTCATGAAGAGGTAAAGGGGTTAGGGCAGGCATCCTCAAACTACGGCCTGAGGGCCACATGTGACCTGCCTAGGACATTTATCTGGACTGCCGGGTGTTTTTGCCCCCGCTGCCTGTTCTGCTTAGCAGCCAACTCATCAAGGGCCCACAGTGCGCACTCTCCAACGGTCTGAGGGACAGTGAACTGGCCCGTTTAAAAAGTTTGAGGACCCCTGGGTTAGGGTGAGGGCTATGGAGTTACACAGGATTGAATCCTGGCTTTATTACATAGTGGTATAACTTTCCTGAGGTTCTGTTTCCTCATTTCTAGAATTAGGAAAATACCTACATCTCATACTACTATTATGAAGAATAAAAAATACATGTACGATTCTTAGCTCAGCCACTGACACATGGTAAACATTTAATAAATAGCCTTTAACAACATCAGTATTAAGCCTCTTTGAAGTTATCAGTCTTTCTTGCTAGTGTTTTTTCTTTTTTATCCTAGCCACTAGATAAGCAGTAATCTTTTTTCCCCTAACATGAGAAAGTATCAAGTAATTGCTAGTATTTTGCCTTCAAAACTTTTAAGACATGCCCAAATAGAAGATTTGAAACTAGAACCTATTTGTACAGACTTTTCAGCTTATTATTTCTGTTGCCAGGACTGCAAAACTTCCAAGCTAGCCTCAAATAGAGACGGATCCTTCTCCACAATACTACCACCACCATTGTCACCACCACTGCCACCACCAGAATGTCTACGTCAAGATCACTAACTATATGCAACCCCTCCTATCCTGAAGGCTTCACACTCCTGCTAATGGGCCATAGCTGGGTTTGATTTCTAATCAGCAGCGGTCCTGGTGTGGAGCCCAAAAAGCTCTTGTCTGGTACTCAAGATATTGTAGCACCACTGATTCTTGCCATGACAATGGTTCTCACACCTAACTGTGCCTCACCCCTCAAAATTCCACTCAGGTTTCTGGGGTGGTACCCAGGCCGAGTGATTCTGATGCACAACCAGGACTGAGACCTACTACCCTAAAACAGCAGCCAAGTTCATTTACCCCAATGCTCACCCCTTTTTGGCATTCTTCCTGGTGGCGTTGTCTCCAACTTTCATCTGCCTAGACAAGCAAAAACAAAGAAAGTAATCAGAAAATCATAGTATTGTCATGTGTGTTGTGAACAGGTGGAACAAAGAGCTTGAGTTTCCAAGGAAAGAACCAGAGATTATATACAAGGCAAACAGCACAATCTTGGGATTTCTGAGGACCCGTGCATTTTTGTTTCAGCGCAGACTACTGAAAAAGGCTTATGAATAGGGAAGGGGTATCTTCCTGACCACCTCAGCAACCTGATAGTGCTGCTCAAGATGGTGTGGATATCTCATGTCAATCTCACTCACCTGGGAACTAAATGCAGGGTGGGAACACACTTAACACACCACCCTGGGGCTGGACTGTGCTCAGACCAGCAACCTAGGCTTACAACTAGCCTGCACTCCTCACCAATGCAACTTAGGGCTGGTGTTTCACTACTGTACTGCCATTTGTATGTTCAGAGCAAGTGATGAGAGGAAAGAATTACTCTCATCTTAACACTTGCTGTGTCTTTTCAAACAGATCAATATAGAAGGTGGTGATAAAGAGCTCAGCAATGCTGCGCTGCTATGGGCCACTAATCATAGTTGTTCAAGAGCCTTGTGCTCCCCCAAGCCCTATTTTCTTTTCTTTCTTTTTTTGAGACAGAGTCTCACTTTGTTGCCCAGGCTAGAGTGCCATGGCATCAGCCTAGCACACAGCAACCTCAAACTCCTGGGCTTAAGTGATCCTCCTGCCTCAGCCTCCAGAGTAGCTGGGACTACAGGCATGCGCCACCATGCCTGGCTAGTTTTTTCTACGTATTTTTAGTTGGCCAATTAATTTCTTTCTATTTTTAGTAGAGACGAGGTCTTGCTCTTGCTCAGGCTGGTTTTGAACTCCTGAGCTCAAACGATGCACCCGCCTCGGCCTTCCAGAGTGCTAGGATTACAGGCGTGAGCCACCGCACCTGGCCCAAGACCTATTTTCTAATTCTTAGTACTGAAAAATTTCTAGCAAGATGTTCACATTGGATACCAATGATCTGCTCTCACCCATTCTCTCGTTTCAGCTTGGTGATTTTCATAACATCAGTCTCTGAACCTGCTGAATGAAGATGTCTGGGAACATCGACTTCTTTGGACCTAACAGGTAATAGACTCTTAGAAGTGGCTCGAGTTTGTGTGTCTGCAAAGGAAAATAAGACAATAAAATCTCAAGCATTAGGACCCAAAAGTTGCAACCCTGTAACAAACAGAGTTTCATTCTAAGTTGTCATAACCTTTATTTTCATTCTGACCAATCTCATTTCATTCTGACTAATTTGTGAAAATTAATTCAAGAGAATAAAACTTCTAGGCTAATTGGCAATAGAAACCAAAATTCTTTAAATGTGATAGTACACCATGTTTGAGAGTAGCCAAAAGTTTCATCGAACTGAATGGCTAGAGGGTATAAATATGAACGTAAAGATTCATACCAGCAAAGAGCTAATAATGAAAGGCAGGGTGGAAGTTAGCAGACAAAACATAACGAGTCCTTGTACCATCTTGTTAAGCTCCCCAAGCACTCTGCACACTCCCCCAAGGCAACATTCAAGCTGCTTTGAGTTTTTCACTCTTGCTTAGTTGTTTTTATAAGAATGCCTTCCTGTGTCCCCAGCGCCTAATAGAGTAGTTGGCATATGAACCAAGGTTCAATAACCACTTGCTGAATAAGTGAAATGCTTCACAGTTTCATGGTTGTTTCACAGACCATCTCTACACTATCTCCTCTGGTCTTCTTTCCTTCTTCCATGTTGATTGCCTCTACCACCAGCCCTTTTTCTTCTTTTTCTTTTCTTTTTTTTGAGACAGGGTCTCACCCAGGATAGAGTGCAGTGGTGTCATTACATCTCACAGCAACCTCAAACTCCTAGGCTCAAGCGATCCTCCCACCTCGGCCTCGCAGAGTACGAGGACTACAGGTGACAGTCACTGTGCCTGGCCCCACCAGCCCTTTTCATTTGTTTACTTGTCATTAAGTTGAGGTTCTCCTTTTGGCATTCTATTTGGACCTTCTTGCTAGGGCACTGCTGCACTGCCATGACACTCTTCTTCCCCAAAGGAGAGCATTTTCCTCTTAGCTGTATGCCAGCACCCCGCCCTGTCCGCACATACTGTCTGCCATTTATATTGCACAGCAAATTCAAGTAACTTACTTTGGAGTTAAGCACCCTCCACCTCACCCTCACACACTGGCTTTTCTAGACTATACTTTCACTTTGTTCACTGTAAAATGGTCCCTTTAAGCTTGACCTAACAGCCATTGCAACAGAATCAAGTTGAAGCACTGAGGTACAAAGCACCAGATCATAGAGATTAGGATAAGGACATTTTGTATCTGATAAAGAATTTATTTTGATAACTCCAGTTGCACAAATTTGGAATAAGTTTGGTCTCTCTGGTCAACAAATTATTTCAGCTGGGCTCACTGGCTAGGACCTGTAATCCCAGCTACCCGGGAGGCTCAGGTGAAAGGATCACTTGAGCCCAAGAGTTCAAGGCTGCAGTGAGCTATGATCTGCACTCCAACCTGGGTAACAGACCAAGACTTGTCTCTAAAAAAATAAAGAATTTCATGCACAGACTCATTTACTGGGCACCTGCACTGTCTATTTTTGATATTTTTACCCACAAAGCAAATATCAAAAGGGCTCTTTTTGAAGTATCTGTCTAAAGTAAAAGGTAATCTTAGGGGAGATTATTCTCTAAAGTATTAGTTACTAATAGTTATGAACAAATCTACCCCATGTAAAATGGAGTTAACAGTAAATTGATCAATATTAACATTTCATAGACTGGAATTGATTTCAATAATTCATATTTGCCAAAACCTACGGATGGCATTGTAGGAAAAATTTAGTAGGATTTAACAAAGATGTCTCCTAAAAAATGGGAGACACTAAGGAGGGGAACTGGATGGCTGGTGTCTAGGAAGGGAAGGAAACTTGTTCTTCCACTGCATAATTTATGATTTTTAAAATATGTGCATATATTATCTATTAAAAAAGCTGAAGCTTAAAAACAACCCACCCATACTCAAAATCCAAAGAAAAACTTGGGAGATAGTCTAGAAATGTTAAACTGTTTCGGTTACATATGATTACAAAGCTGGGACAGGGATAGAAAGGAAAGAGATGAAAACCTCCAGCCTGGCTGGGAGAGCTAGTCACTGCTGGCTGATGGAGGGGCACTGCAGCTAAGGGAAAGTCACAGCTGTGTGAGAAGACCTGGCTCTAGTTCATCCAGCAACGCCCAGTCCCAGCAGGTGTCAGGATCAACAATCAGGTGGTTCTGAAGCAACACAAGACCAACAGAACCCTTTAAGCCTTTGGAGAAAAGCCTATTTACTTCACAGCTCAATCCTGCCACCGCTCCTCTACCAGCTGCATGGAATCATCAGGAAAGGGATCATAAATAGCTTCTCCATAATCTTCCACAACAGTTTTCTGATGTCTGAAGCTTATTCTATGCTGTAATCTCTAGATTAGGTAGCTTGACAACTGCACACCCTATGAGATGACTTTCAGCCACAAGCAAAACAACACAAAGCAAGATGGCACAGGAATTAAAAATTATGGCACAGGAATTAAAAATAATCAGATGTCTCTCTTCTCCCAAGGTTGTCAAATACTCTAGCTAGGCCTGACCCCTCTCTCCCACTTCACTCAACATTTATTGAGAATGTGCTAATGAGACACACTGTGCAGAACCCACTCCTCAAATAACTCTCCTCTCTCCCCCCTGACAACAAACACAATCCGTCATGATAGCCCAAGAAATAAAATGGATAACTGGTTAGAAGGGGATTCCTAGCTTAATGGGAATAATACTGTGTAACAGCCAGCAACGTGAATCTAATTGATGAATGCAGCACAGATGTAGAGTAGAGGGTGCAGGGCAGGTCTAAAATCCTACCACCTGGGCCCTTCCCTTAACTCCCATCGTAAACCTACGCAGCCTGGTTCTAGCGGGGGCTAGCCTACGGAATGCCCTCCTTCTGCCCGCGACCCTCATTCCAGCCACCGATCAGATCCTCACACTCCAGTGCCTGACCAAGCCTGGCCAGTCCGCAGTGCTGGGAGTGGGAAGTGAGGGAGGCGGCGCGGACACTCACCTGTGGGCAGGCCGCCGCTCGGCACAGACGAGGGCTGCAGGCTGTACACGGTCTTAACCACACTGGTCATCGTGACGAGGCGGCACGGCTGGACCCTGGAAGGTGCAAGGTGAATGTTACCTAGCGTTAGGCCACCCGGCACTAGTAGGTGGAGGGCCCAGGGACAGCGCGACGCGGACGGCCCCAATTCCGGGTCGGGAAAGAGCAAATCCTCCTTTCCCAGCCCACCCTGTCTGCTCCCCACATCCAGCCCAGTCCCTCGCCGCAGGAGAGCCGAACCCAGGCGCCTGCCGCTCCTGCCCCCAGTCCTGGTCGCTCCTGTTCAGAAGATGCTCAGCTTCAACCGCCGCGCCGCCGACCGGGTCTGCCGCCTCCGTTTCAAACAGAAACTTCCGGTATCTGGGCGGAAGCGGTTGCGGTTCGCGCTCTGTAGGCAGCCCTGCTGTACGGAAGACTCCGCCCTGGGCCGTGGCCTCGGGAGCAGCCATGCTGCACGGAAGGCGCGCGCCGGGGCGAGAGCATGCGCTCGCTACTGAAGGGCCTCCGAGCCCCCAGATCTGGGCGGGGCAGGGGGTGGTACATGCGCAGGCTTCAGGGGAGCTAATGAGCACCTGGCGTCGTGTTCCAGGCTGGAGAAGCAAACGTGGCCTGCGTGGGACCCATGTCACAATCTCCTTTATTTGGTCTGTGATTTTCCGGGGTATTGCCAGGAGCAGTTGACTTGGATGAAGACTACCCGTTACAGGTGGAGAGTGACAAGTGAGGCTAGAGGAAAAGGGCCTGTGGGGTGAAATACCTACGGCACTTACCCGCAGTCCTAACTTTGATAGCACTGATCCAGATTTTAAGTAGACATTCAAAGTTACTCCTAATAAACAGGGCGGAGTTCTCCATGACTTAATGCACTCATTCATTTCGTCCAACATTTATTTATTTATTTATTTATTTATTTTATTTCAGGATATTATGAGGGTACCAACATTTTGGTTACATTTTATGTCTTTGCCTCACCCTAGCGAGGATTAGAGGCATGCCCTTCCTGTCTACAATGCTCACCACATCCATTAGTTGTGAATTTACCCGCTCCCAACCCCCTAATCCCTGGAGAATATTACTACCGTGTGAGCACTGTAGTGTTGATCAGTCAGTGCCAATTTGATAGTAAGTACATGTGGAGCCTATTCTTCGATCTTGTGATACCTCACTTTGGAAAATAGGCTTAAGCTCTACCCATGAAAATATAACAGGTGCTAGGTCACTGTCATTTCTTATAATTGAGTAATATTCCATTGTATGCATATACCAAATTTTAATAATCCACCCAACAAATATTTATTGACCACCCTCTCTATGCCCAACACTAAGTGGATAGGTAGAGGTGAGGGAGAGCAAATATCAAGACTGACCTTAGCTCTGCCCTCCTGGAGTTTATTTATTTATTTATTTTTTGAGACAGAATTTCACTTTCTTGCCCAGGCTAGAGTGAGTGCCGTGGCATCAGCCTAGCTCACAGCAACCTCAAACTCCTGGGCTCAAGCAATCTTACTGCCTCAGCCTCCCGAGTAGCTGGGACTACAGGCATGTGCCACCATGCCCGGCTAATTTTTTTTTCCTATATATATTAGTTGGCCCATTAATTTCTTTCTATTTATAGTAGAGATGGGGTCTCGCTCTTGCTCAGGCTGGTTTCGAACTCCTGACCTCAAGCAATCCGCCCGCCTCGGCCTCGCAGAGTGCTAGGATTACAGGCATGAGCCACCACGCCCAGCCCCTCTGGAATTTATAATCTAGGAGATAGTGAACAAATAATCACACATAAATATATATTTACCAATTGTGGCAAAAATATGAAGGAAAAGTACAAGATGCTATGAGAGAAAAAAGCAGGGAAACCTAGATTAAATTGGGGGGTTAGGGAAGACCTCTCTGAGGTGATGTTTGATTAAGAAAGGATGACGGGAAAAAAGGAATAAAAGAAAAACTAGAAAGTTATTGCAGTAGATCACACCTGTAATCCCAGCATTTTGGTTGGCCGAGGAGGGAGGATCACTTGAGGATAGAAGTTCAAGACCAACCTCAATAATGTTGTGAGACCCCCATCTCTACAAAAAATTTAAAAATTAGCTTGGTGCAGTAGTGCATGCCTGTAGTCCCAGCTACGTGGGAGGCTTAGGCAGGAGGATTACTTGAGCCCAGGAGTTCAAGGTTGCAGTGAGCGATGATGAAGCCTCTGTACTCCAGCATGGGCAACTGAGTGAGTTCCTGTTTCAAAAAAAAAAAAAGGGCCGGGGGTGTTGGCTCAAGCAGCCTGTAATCCTAGCTCTCTGGGAGTCTGAGGCAGGCAGATCCTCTGAGCTCAGGAATTCCAAACGAACCTGAGCAAGAGCGAGACCCCATCTCTACTATAAAATAGAAAGAAATTAATTGGCCAACTAATATATATATATAGAAAAAATTAACCGGGCATGGTGGCGCATGCCTGTAATTCTAGCTACTCAGGAGGCTGAGGCAGGAGGATTGCTTAAGCCCAGGAGTTTGAGGTTGCTGTCTCTAGCCTGGGCAACAAAGTGAGACCCTGTTTCAAAAAAAAAAAAAAAAAAGAACTGAATGACAGCTGGGCACGGTGACTCACGCCTGTAATCCTAGCACTCTGGGAAGCTGAGGCAGGCAGATTGCTCAAGGTCAGGAGTTCGAAACCAGCCTGAGCAAGAGTGAGACCTCGTCTCTATACTATAAATAGAAAGAAATTAATTGGCCAACTAATATATATATAGAAAAAATTAGCCGGGCATGGTGGCACATGCCTGTAGTCCCAGCTACTCGGGAGGCTGAGGCAGGAGGATTGCTTAAGCCCTGGAGTTTGAGGTTGCTGTGAGCTAGGCTGATGCCACAGCACTCACTCTAGCCTGGGCAACAAAGTGAGACCCTGTCTCAAAAAAAAAAAAGAAAAGGTGACAGGAGGAGAGGGTACAGATAAAGCTGGAGCGATAAAAAGTTAAATGGCATGATTTGTAGGCCAAGGTGAGATTGGACTTCATCATAGATTTTATCTAAGAGTAATGGGAAGCCATTGAAGCAATAGCAGGAAAGTGTCCTCCAATTCATATTTTAAAAAGGTCACCTTGGCCACTCCATGGAGAATGGATTGAAGTGGGGCTAGAGTGACACCAGGGAGATAGTTAGAAGGCTATTGTCATTACTCAGGTGAGAGGTGATAGTGGCTTGGCTATGATGGTGGTTGTAGTAGTAGTAGAGAGAGAGAGAAGTAGACACATTGCAGATAGCTTTTGGAGATGGAATCTCAGCACTAGAATGGATGTGGGGGAAGGGAGAAAAGGAGAGGAAGACATGAGGAATTACTCCCAGGCTTGAATAATTGTGTGGACAGAGTCATTATTTTGTGTTGAGGAAGACTGACTGTTCAGTTTTGAACATGATAAACTTGAAATGCCTTTGAGACTTGCCAGTGGAGTGGTCAAGTAGGCAGTGGGAACTACAAGCCTTGAACCTGGAGGAGAGTCTGAGTTGGAGATGTACTGTTGGGAGTTATTGATATATTTAAAGCCTTGATACTAGATAAGATCATCACCAATGCAGTGGCTCACACCTGTAATCCTAGCACTCTGGGAGGCCAAAGCAGGAGGATCGCTCAAGGTCAGGAGTTCAAGACCAGGAGTTCAAGACCAGCAAGAGCGAGACCCCATCTCCACTAAAAATAGAAAGAAATTAGCTGGACAATTAAAAATATATAGAAAAAATTAGCTCGGCATGGTGAAGCAGGAGGATGGCTTGAGCCCAGGAGTTTGAGGTTGCTATGAGCTAGGCTGACGCCATGGTACTTGAACTCCAGCAACAGAGGGAGACTCTGTCTCAAAAAATAATAATAATAATAGATAAGATCATCAAGAGGGAACAAGTAGAGCTTCAGGGCATCAATTTATGCATCATATTTTGTATGACTGGCAACACACTGACTTTAGAATTTGCAATGATAATAAGGTGCTCCCAAGAAACCTAATAAAGAGGTGAGAAGAAAACAACAAACGAATGGTGTCCCCGAGCCAAGAAAGAGAAAGTGGTAAACTGCTGAAGGAAGGAGTAGTAAACTTTTTTTTTTTTTTTTTTTTTTTTTTATTGACAGTGTGTGGTTCTGTCACCCAGGCTGGAGTGCAGTGGCGCCATCATAATTCACTGCAGCCTTAAACTCCTAGGCTCAAGCAATCCTGCTTTACCCTCCTGAGTAGTTTTTTCATAAGTTTAAATTGTTGTAAAGGATGTATTTTGTGCCTGTTTTATATTGTGTGCTTTGTATTCATTTCTTTTTTTCATCTAACAAGAAGCCATAACTTTATTAATGATAGAAACAGCATAAATTTCAAACCAAGCTGCAGTTACTCTTTTGAAACACCAAAAAAAGTCCTTGTTTTCAGATGGTTACATTGTTAATTTCCTAATAGCATTTACAATATCATTACTGTTGTACTTCAGGGCTCCCAGTGCCTTTGCTCTCGACACATTTGCTTGTGACATGACCAATTCTATGTCTTTAACTTCCACACCTGTTTCATCAGCCTCTTCCTCTTCACTCTCCTCTTGTACAGTTGGAGTCTGTGTGTTTTCTTGAATGTTTGAAACAGCTTCACCTTGAACTTTGAATTTCTCAGCACACCTTGAACTTTGAATTTCTCAGCAGCTGCTAGCTGCCCTGCTGAGACAAATCCTCGATTCTGGCTTCCATGCAAAACTATGTAGGTATCTGAAGGCTGGGCTCTAGTAGACAAACTGGTTTTGTGATGACAAAGAAGATACTCTTAGATTTCCTGGATACTGGAACCTGCTATAACCCCTGTAACCTGGACCGAAGACCCAGTCTTCGGCACAAGCCTCTCCATGCCTTCTCTTTCCACTACTACCTCTGTTGTGACTTTACTGACTGGGTCTTCTTATTTCAGCTGCCTGCTGCCCGCGGTGCTTGTTGTGTGGTTGCTTGTGTTGGAATCTTGTTCCTCTAGCTCTGGTACTGATTCATCCACTGCAGCTCTGCTCGCAGACCCTGTCTCGACTGAAGCTGTGGCAACTCCTGCTCTTGTAGCAGGAACGGTCCTCCTGTGGCTTCACTGCGCGCCATTCTCCTTTGCTCACACACGCGCACATCGGCCAACCGACTGCGCCCACCCCGCCCACCGCAACAGCACGTGACGAGCCTGTATTCAATTTCTAAAATTCTTTTCTTTTGTGTTTCATTTTGGATAATTACATTGCTATGTCTTCAATTTAAATACCTCCTTCTCTTGTCTGCCAATGTCTAACTGCTCTCGCTCTCTCCCATCCAGCCCCTCGACTCTCTCTCTTACAAATCCTCGCCACCTTTCTAGTTCTCTTATCTCTAAACGTCCTCAAGGTGAGTATTTTAAAACTCATCTTCCCTTGGCCCCGGCGTGCCCCTGCTCTCGCCTGCTAATCCTACGCACTCTGGCCGGCCCTGAGGCCAGGCGCGCGCAACCTTCCGCTTGAGGGTCCAGGAGTTCCGAAACCCGCCTCCGAGCAAGCGCACGCGAACCCTCTCTACTACTACACCCTACTCCCTCCTACTCACTCACAACTACACACCGAAA